CTAGGGTCCCTCCTCGTCGCACAGCTGGGGTTGCCGCCTGTGGCTGATACAGGTAGTATTTCCTAACTTTGTAAGGTACCTCGAAAAGGTGAGGTGTCTCTTAGAAAATTGAGTCATTGGGGCAATAGGAATGGCCTTAAGAGAAAACCACAAGGGGGAGAGGTTCTCCTTTAGCTGCCTCTACTTGGTATCTTAGGAAGGTCTAGAATGCCTCTGCCTTTGTGACTCTTAGGGTTCTAACTTTGACTTCAGCAACCCCAACCACTCCCTTTCCGTATGTCTAGTCAGTATATGTCCCCTTTTGGTGTTTTATGAAGCTGTATCAGTGAATCTGGATCATCTTTCCTACTTGAGTGGCCCAAAGCCAGCACCAAAACCTGGTAGTCCCTGAAGCCTAACAGAACAGGTAGAAGCTGCCAAGTGAAAGGAATTTGGCTGAGAGCTCCATTCTAATCCCATAGTCATTATTGTGTCCTCATAGACAAGGAGCAAGCTAGCTTTCCCAAAGAGAGAGTGTCCTCAAAGCTTTTGATGGTTTTTACTTAAGGATGCGAGCTTTGTGTTTTCACCTAAATGAAAGGTTCCTTTAGTATTTTGGGTCGTAGGAGTTGCCTTGATGAGTCTCACATCCTCCCTCCTTAGAAACTGCTAAATTAATTTTTGTTTCATTTTCCCCAAACCAAAAAATGAATGTTTGATATCTCTTTAATATTTTGGAAGGACCTGTGCGATGGAAATTTTGCCATTTCCCTAAAACTGGTGGGATAAAGGCTGATGCTTGGGGAAAACCCCATGGCTGGGGATGGGCAACTCTGTTCAATGGGATTTTCTTTGGTTTGATGTTCCCATTGTTTTCTCAATTCTGGGAAGCCTAGTACAATGGTACTAACATAATCACTAAAGCCTTTTCTTAAAATAAGGGAAGGGGCCAACCCCGGATTAAAGTTACAAGTTCTGGGGACTTGGGGGTTTGCTGTAAACCCCAGCAGTGGGTTTTGGTTCATCATGTAAATGCACCTTTGATTTTTTTTAAGGACTGACTGGCTTTTCACGTTCCTGTATCCCTCATACCATCTCAGCAGGCCTGAGAGGCAGGCTCAGTTTGGGTGTTAATCCTGAGTATTGCTTCTGCTGTGGAACTGAGGAACAGGGGCATGTTGCTGAGACAGGGATGGAAGTGAGCATGGAAGGGAGGAGAGAGCACTGCTCTTGTTCCGGAGGGGAGCCATTCTCTAGCAGGGGAACACTGCTCACTTTCTCTAGCATGTTCCCTCGGGAAGTCTAGTTTGCTGTTAATCTGGCTGAGAATCTGAGTTCTGTGCCTTAGAGACAATTTGCACTTTCCCAGTTGTGCCTGGGACAGCCATATGATTTTTCCCACCAAATAGCTATGCAAACAGAAACCAGTTCAAAGGTGGCAGCCATGCATTAGATAAAAATGAAAGGCAGCAGAAATGCCTTTGAATGGTTTTCTGTAGCTAATTCTCTTGAAGTTTGTCCTGCTTTTCTTTCTGCAGGACTAGGTGTTTTCAGTTTCCCAGTAGTATTGCTTTTGAGTTACAGTATAACCTGAGTTACTCCTCTGCTCTGATATTGTTGCTGAAGAACTAGCTCATTGTTAGCCAGATGTTTGAAAGGTTGAGGGTGGAGTGGTTTGGCATTTCTGTTTTAAATAAACATTTAAACTCTCAATCAGTGCTATGCCTGCGCATGGACCTTAGTCACTGGGGATGAAACACCCAGATACTAGGCCTTCGTGAATCTTTGATTCAATGAGTCTTTATCTAAATAAATAAAAGACCTTGTAACGGAAACAATGCAAGGGACATTTGCACAAATAATCTTTGCTTTTTTTCCCAGTTTTTCTTGCTAACAATAATTTCTGCTGCTACACCTTTTTCTCCCCAAACTTCTCAAATGTAGTGCTTAAAGTGCAGAGGGAGGAAGAAAATGAGCCACTGAAAGAGGAAGGAGCATTTCTTGTACTTAACCTCCTCAATCACAGTGGGCTTTTTCAAGTGATAATGTGTATCTGTGTTTACAAAACTGTTTTCCCTCAAAGAGGGTGAACTGTATTTGGTCTCCCTGGCATAGCACAGCCAAGTTATCACTTCTCTTGGCTGAGCATTTCACTAAAGTGTAAAGTAAAAGCGGCCTTAAACTCACATTTCATTTGATTTGCCATATATTTGGAAACATCCATAATAGAAAGAACAGCTCTGGAGCAAGGATGTATTATAAATAAATTCTTTCAAATGAGTATCCCTGGACCTCCAAAGAAGTATTATTCATTAGTGTCCAGCAGACTGGGCTGTCGTCAGGACTACAAAACATGTTCCTTCCTGCCACAAAACCAAAAATCATTTATTACTTCAATGATTAACTATGGAAATAAACATGCTGATCACTAAACCTCACAGACTCAGGAACATGAGAGAGAAAAACACTATATCACGTCTCTGCTACTTCCTGTATAGTCGTGAAGAATGATAAATTAATGACCAAAAGCAAATGTTGGCCAAAAGGTACCATGCTGCATTAAATACCCTGCTGTTAAGAAGTACTATTTCAGCACATCTGCATAACTTTTATATGAAGTGAGTTTCACCATGAGATTTTCTTCCCATTGCTTACTTAACCTTTTGAACTTTAAAATTTATAACATTTGCTTGTACTGAAGGTTCTTGAATAAAGTATCATACGTGAACAGTACCAAGCAGCATTATCCACTGTCATCCTCTGCTATCCAGGAAGGGACTTAGATAGAAAAACGGTTCTGACCTCTTCCCAAAGAGCAGATCAAGCTAAATTCAAAAGGCTAATAGATATTCTTAATCTAAGCAAGACCTATGCATTATTAAGATTGGAGGGAACACTGAGGCATTGACTATTGCCTTCTCCAGCAATATAAGAATGAGCAACTGCTTCCTGTGTCTACAGAAGGCATTCCCCACACATACATTTGTTCTCCCCAGAGGGCCCTGACCTGTGAACTTAATCACATCAACCAGGATCCCAAACCCAAGTGCCCGTGGGGCCAGGCAGGAAAGGTGAATAAGTGCAGCAGGCCAGGTGGGGCTGTGGTGATCGTCGAGATCAGCCTGTCTGAAGGAGCACGCGGTTGGGGCTATGCAGGGTTGCTGGCCTGGTATTTCCAGAACTTCCGGCTTTTCAAGAGATTCTCCATATCCCAGTTTTTAAATGTCAGATCTATGTCAAATTGTAGGACAAAGCAGTCCATAGGCTACCACTTCGCGGCCTTGGCCACAGCTCATTCTTGCCATCTACTGCTTTTACCATCAAGTGTGAAACTTAACAGTTTGTACTTCACTAGACTTGCCTGGGGAGTGTATATACTGGGTTAAATACGCAGTGTGTATGTGAAGTTTCAAGTGGCCAGCTAAGGCCCCACTATGTGATCCCTCCTTTTCTTTGCAACAATTAAGAAGAGCATAAAGCAATTCAATAGGTACTGTTTTTTAATTTTTTTTTCAGCCTAGAGCCCTGCAGCTTTACAGCTAAAGCCTTAAATTCGCATTTCAAATTGGTCTGATCTATTAGCCCAGCCATTCAGCAGAAGCTGCAGAGGAAATGGAACAAAAGTGAGTGGTCATTTGTTGTTAGTAGAACATGGTTTTATTGTCTGCTTAGTCACCTTGGCCCACATCAGGTTCGGTGTTTTTTCTCCAGTATTTTATTTTTTTTTAAAGATTTTTTTATGTATTTATTTGACAGAGAGAGACACAGTGAGAGAGGGAACACAAGCAGGGGGAGTGGGAGAGGGAGAAGCAGGCTTCCCCCTGAGCAGGGAGCCCGATGCGGGGCTGGATCCCAGGACCCTGGGATCATGACCTAAGCAGAAGGCAGGTGCTTAATGACTGAGCCACCCAGGCGCCCCTTCTCCAGTATTTTAAACTAACAATTTTTTTAAAAGATTTTTTAAAATTTATTTGACACAGAGAGACACAGCAAGAGAGGGAACACAAGTGGGGGAGTGGGAGAGGGAGAAGCAGGCTTTCCGCGGAGCAGGGAGCCCGATGTGGGGCTGGATCCCAGGACCCTGGGATCATGACCTGAGCCGAAGGCAGATGCTTAACGACTGAGCCACCCAGACGCCCCTTAAACTAACAATTTGAGTGATGCTCTCAGGACAATAATCCTACTGTTATTTCAGATCTGTTGTTCTATATTCATCCTATCTCAACTGATACTACCCCTGACAGGCATTACCTTATCATTTCTCCCATCTCACCAATCTAGGACTTACTCATTTTATTATTTAATTTTAAATCCCCAAACCCATTGATTGAAGGTCTAATTGTGAAGAGTACCTGCAGTATGCACAATTCTGCACAGAAAAAATTTAACAGATCCGGTATCTTTTTCATCAGAGTTTACTTTCTAAAAGAGAAGTTCACTGTGGTATAATGGGCAGGGACATGTGACATGGCAATGTCCCAGCTTGCTTTGATGGTAGATTTTACTGCCGCATTTAAAAAGCCATACACCCAACCTGATTTCAAAGCAGAATGCCAGCAATAGCTGAAACTGAAGTTTCTTCCTTCCTTCCTTTTTTTTGGGGGGGGGGGGGGGGGAGGGAACATGAAATCCTTTAGCAAAGTGCAACTACTGAGCCATACAGGATGCTCTCTCCCATCCCTACCATGTAAAGCACATAAAGATGAGGTTCCCTTTACGGCACAGTACACCACAAGGAGGGTTTAGGATATACTGGTGCCCTAACTTTACATACTGGTATTGGCTTTTGGCCAGGACCATACATCACGGAGGTCAAGGATAAATTTACATTTGCCTTACAGCAAAATCGTATTATCTTTTGTAAGAGATACCACCTCGGTGATCATGATCATCTGACACCAACTCAGTCTCATGAACCAACATCTTGCAAGAGCAAAAAGAGTTAACAAGAGCCAGGCATACATGCAGAGGCAGGGCAAGAAGGCACAGCGAACACAGGCACTTAGCACAAACCCCAAGTCAGCCTAGTGAGAAAAGAGCTTTAATGTAGGCTGCTCACTACTCCTGAGAGTCTTCACCCATCAGTTCTTAGGGCAATAACAAGGCACACCAGCCTGAGGCGGTAATTTCGTGGGAAGCTGAGGCTTCCTTTTGCCTCCCGCTGCTTAGCAATGGGTCTCTCCTCACTGATTTAAGCTCTGCAGGCAGATGTGGGAGATGTAAAAGTTTTAGTTCTGTTTTGCATCAAATTATTCTACTCCCATTTACTGCTGAAGAGAAGCAGAGCCTTCTGAGGCTTCCACTGTTGTCCGCTCAACTGTAATGCTTCCTTGGAGGTGGAGGCCGGTTCTTAATGGTCTTACACTTGGGAACGTGCCGCTCGGCCACCTTGGGAGCAAAGTGGCGGCTACAGTGAGGACACTGAATATAATCTGGATTTTCTGCAGGCAGGATGGGAGGCAAGTCTGAGGGGTTTCCACCTTTGGCAATGACCTGCTGGACCTCTCGAGCCTGACGGAGAGTACGGATGAAAGACTCATGCTTCTGTCTCCAGTTGCTCTTCTGAGGAGGTTCAGCCTGTAAGTGGGAGAAAGACTGATCATTCAACTTGGCGTTTATCACATCTCCTTCTGAGTCTTCATCAGAATGACAGTAAGGAAATGGAAAGGGTGTTCATCCATAAGATCAAAGAGAACAGGAAGGGAGCAACAGAGCTGACTTGCCAGAGTGGAGGCACTTAAAGCTAAGGGCCTGCCAAGGGGTGACAGTACTGAGAGGCTTGGTGCTTATAAGTACAGGCAATGGAGAGGGAAGAGGTGCAGGGCTGAGAATAAATTGGATCCCTGGGGCTCCTCTCCCACCTTGTATATCCAAGTGTCTGTCACTTCCCACACTCTCACAGGAGAACAGGGGTTTATTCTCTGGAGAAACTGCACCAGACAGGTTTCAGACTCAGGAAGTCCAGGCATAGTGGAGAACAGGGTAATATTGAGGCTGAAAGTTGGGATTAAGTGCAAGTATACGTGATGAATTATGGAACTGTTGGCCTCCTTCCCCCACTCAGCTCCCAGGATATCAAACACATTGGCACCCTCATAGGAGATAGGAGTTCTCTGAATGCACCAAGGAGTCGAGAGAAAAGCCATTAGATGCTGACCTTGAGTGACTCCAATGAAAAGGCTCACTATTTGATAACCCTAATGTGAAGGCCTTTAGTCAACATGCCCCACTTAACCTTAAATATGAATGGACAACCTGTGATCACCAGATATTTGAGTAAAGCTCTAACAAGAGAGAAACTATAACAGGTACATGAATTCTCTCTCTCTCTCTCTCTCTCAGGAAATGGATAAGACTTGGGGCGCCTGGGTGGCTCAGTTGGTTAAGCGACTGCCTTCGGCTCAGGTCATGATCCTGGAGTCCCGGGATCGAGTCCCACACATCGGGCTCCCTGCTCAGCAGGGGGTCTGCTTCTCCCTCTGACCCTCTTCCTTCTCGTGCTCTCTATCTCTCATTCTCTCTCTCTCAAATAAATAAATAAAATCTTTAAAAAAAAAAAAAAGGAAATGGGTAAGACAGGTAAAAGAAAACTGAAAACCAGAGAACCAGAAAGAACTATTATAAATTAAAACTATGATAGCTAAGGGGTGCCTGGGTGGCTCAGTCAGTTGAGCATCTGACTCTTGATTTCAGATCAGGCCATGATCTCGGGGTCATGGGATCGAGCCCGATGTCGGGCTCCATGTTCACTGCGGAGTATGCTTGTCCCTCTCCCTCTGCTCCTCCCCCTGATCACTTGCTCTTGCTCTTTCTCTCTCAAATAAATAAATGAAAATCTTTATTTAAAAAAAAGACCATTTAAAAAAACAGTGATAGCTAAAAATAAAAATAGAAATGTATAATGTCAAGAAAATTACTCAGAATGGGAAAAAAGATCAAGATGGAAAGTAGAAAAGATTAGGAAATTAGAAAGCCAATCCAGGAAGTCCAACACCTGACCAAAAGGAGTTCCAAAAAGCATAAAAAAAGCACACAGAAGAAATTATTAAATAAATAATACAATAAACATTCCTAGAATTAAGGTCACTGCTCTTGAAATTGAAATAGTCTACCAAGTATCCAACACAATCATTGTAAAATTTCAGAATTTCAGAATAGAGAGAGAAGCCTGTAAGCTTTCAGAAAAAGAGAAACACCAAAAGAGGTTTCATACAGTGGAGCAGGAAGCAATATGGCATCAGATTTCTCAACAGTAACACTGGATGCTAAAAGCTAGTGGGAAAACCCCTTAAAAGGTCTAACAGAAAATCATTTTCTACCTAGAATTCTATACCTGGTCAAATCATCCATCAAATATAAAGCTATTGTATAGATATTTTCATTCATTCTGAGACCAAAAAAAAAAAAAAATGCTTCCCATGCATGTTTCTTGAAAGCTTCAGCAAAGCAAGAAATAAAACAAGAAAAAGGAAGACCTAAGAAGGTGGAAACAGGACCCAAGACAGAAGAGAAGCAAAAAGAAGTCCCGAAACAATAGGTCTGCACCAGGCCTACAGAATAACCAGTCCAGACTGGTGCAGGAGGAAAAAGGAGTGATGGGAGGGAAGTTTCTAGAATAAGAAAAAAAAAAAATCAATGGATTAGGTGTTTGAGCATTTACAAAAATGCTAATAGGTGCCTGACATCAGATGGATCATTTAGGAAAAAAAAATTATAATAAAAAATTATTTAAAAAAGATTAGAGTAGGAAACCAAGCAAATGAAAACATGCGTCAGCTATTAATTCCAGGGACATGTGTTCACTCATCAGTGAACAAAATTTACATGGTTATTATAATGTAAAAGCTGACTACTGGTTTAACCCAAAATTGTGATTCCACTACAATGGAAGGAGAAGGAAGGAGAAAAGTAAAAGGAGAGGAGATGTGAAAGAGAGCTTAACCCGAAGCATTCATATCAGGAAGTCAACAGATAATGTAAAAAACTGATTAATCAAGAAAATAAGCATATTATTGAGAAATATGAAAACACATACCAGAAAACACATACCTATCAGGACTGAAGACTGCCACTGGGGGCCAGATTAGGATGGAAAAGGATAAGGCAGGATCCTGCTTGTTGCCTTATAGGTCACTTAGTACATGATTTTTTAAATGTATTCAAATATTATTTAAATTAATATAAAATTAATTTTAAAAAGAAAAAAGGCAAGTAGCTGTTTGGTGATCTGATATCATTAATGGTGAATGACAGGAAGAGATACTATCAAAGCAAAAGGATCCTCCAGGAGAGAGTGTTACTGAAACAGACAAGAAGGCAAGAGAATTTGTGTGTTAGAGACGGTATCCAGGAACTTTTTTTTTTAAGATTTTTTATTTATTTATTAGAGAGAGAGAGAATGGTAGAGAGAGCATGAGAGGGAAGGAGGTCAGAGGGAGAGGCAGACTTCCTGCTGAGCAGGGAGCCCGATGTGGGACTCGATCCTGGGACTCCAGGGTCATGACCTGAGCTGAAGGCAGTCGCTTAACCAACTGAGCCACCCAGGCACCCGGTATCCAGGAACTTTTTAAAAGAATTAGGGGATAAATACCCAGTAGTGCAATTGCTGGGTCACAGGGTAGCTCTATTTTTAAATTTTTGAGGAACCTCCACACTGTTTTCCGAAGTGTCTGTACCAACTTGCATTCCCACCAACAGTGTAAGAGGGTTCCCCTTTCTCCACAACCTCTCCAACATTTGTTGTTTCTTTCCCTGTCCATTTTTGCCATTCTAACTGGTATAAGGTGGTATCTCAATGTGGTTTTGATTTGAATTTCCCTGATGGCTAATGATGATGAACTTTTTGTCATGTGTCTGTTAGCCATTTGTATGTCTTCTTCAGAGAAGTGTCTTTTCATATCTTCTGCCCACTTTTTGACTTATTTGTTTTTTGGGTGTTGAGTTTGAGAAGTTCTTTATAGATCTTGGATACCAGCCCTTTATCTGTAGTGTCATGTGCAAATACCTTCTCCTATTCTGTGGGTTGCCTCTTTGTTTTGTTGACTGTTTCCTTTGCTGTGCAGATCTTGATGAAGTCCCAAAAGTTCATTTTTGCTTTTTTTTCACTAGCTTTTGGAGATGTATCTTGAAAGAAGTTGCTGTGGGCGATGTCAAAGAGGTTACTGCCTATGTTCTCCTCTAGGATTTTGATGGATTCCTGTCTCACATTGAGGTCTTTCATCCACTTTGAGTTTATCTTTGTGAATGGTGTTAGAGAAAAGAAGGGCCATATGCACCCCAGTGTTCATAGCAGCAGTGTCCGCAATAGCCAAACTGTGGAAAGAGCCAAGATGCCCTTCAACAGACGAATGGATAAAGAAGATGTGGTCCATATATACAATGGAATATTACTCAGCCATCAGAAAGGATGAATACCCAACTTTTACATCAACATGGATGGGACCGGAGGAGATTATGCTAAGTGAAATAAGTCAAGCAGAGAAAGTCAATTATCATATGGTTTCACTTATTTGTGGAACATAAGGAATAGCAGGGAGGACATGAGGAGAAGGAAGGGAAAGACGAAGGGGGGGTGGGAATTGGAGGGAGAGATGAACCATGAGAGACTATGGACTCTGAGAAACAAACAGGGTTTTAGAGGGGAGGGGGCGGGGGGATTGGTTAGCCTGGTGATGGGTATTAAGGAGGGCACGTACTGCACGGAGCACTGGGGGTTATACGAAAACAATGGATCGTGGATCACCACATCAAAAACTAATGATGTATTGTATGGTGACTAACATAACATCATAAAATTAAAAAAAAAAGAATTAGGAGAAAATTCCTCAAGTATATGATAGTTGGGGCGCCTGGGTGGCTTAGTTGTTAAGCATCTGCCTTCGGCTCAGGTCATGATCCCAGGATCCAGGGATCAAGCCCCGAGTTGGACTTCCTGCTCGGCGGGGAGCCTGCTTCTCCCTCTCCCACTCCCCCTGCTTGTGTTCCCTCTCTCACTGTGTCTCTGTCAAATAAATAAAATCTTTAAAAAAAAAAAAGAAAAACTCCAACTTATCTTTAAAAAAAAAGTATGATAGTTCATCATTTTGAATGAACTATTAATTCATCATATTGAAATTTTATTCAATTAACACTTATTAATCACAAAGCACAAAGATGTGGTCTCTGTGCTCAAATGAGACCAGAGCTAGGAGTCTGCTGGAAGCTATGTGAAAATTAAAGGATAGAAGGAAAGTCACCTGTTCTTGTGAGTACACTAGAGGAATAACAGGGAGACACAACCACTTGGCTTCCAAAGACACAAAGCTTTGGAATAAGACTTAGAACATTCCAAGGAGGGGAGTGCGTCTCAATCCAGGTCCTTTCTGCTTCAGTGTCCTCAATGCATGATATTCCCCCCCAAAACTAGTTTCCACAAAGCTCGGGTGTCTGATCTCAGAAATCCAATTCCTTTGCTTCACTGCTACTGCATTTAGGAATTTAAGAAACAGAAGTTTCTTTCAGGTGCCTGCCAGAAACAACCACTATAGTAGGATAGAGAAGACCCCAGTGTATTATTGGGTTGACCAGAAAGAAAACAGGAAAGAACAGGAACCAGTGATCGTATCATTATCTGCAAGAGCAAAATGTTGAATTCTTGTTGGAAACGACTTCAGGTAGATTATTTCTGAACACAGAAGGGACTTTTTTGTGGTTATCTTCCAAACTGTACTGAAAGAAATAACTGCAATTGACTTCTCCTAACAGCCACCACATAAATTTGAGTTTTTAAAGGCCCCAGCAGTACGCCCATAAACTGTAAAGTGCTTAGCGGACAAGAGGTGCTAGTGCACATAGGGACGATTGGAAAGAAATGAAAACAGAATATGCTCTCATATTTTGTTAGAAAATTAGAGTTGGATGGGACTTTGAGATCATGTGATCTAGGCTTTCCCAAACTTTGGTCATTTGCATACCACTTTCACTTTATCCCCCTAACCATAAATTACTTAATATTTTTCTTTAAGTTCATGATTCCTAAAAACCATGGGCTTCATATCTTGTTATATTTTTCTAATATACACTAAAACTACTAAAATAAAAAATATTTGCCAGCATACCGCACTTTGAGAAACACTCATATACAAGCCAAGGGGCATAACGTTGACAGGGTGGTAGACTTATTCATGAGACAATTTCCAGATCTGACTGTCCAAATATGCCTGTGAAGTACCCCTAAACTTACCATGCAAGTATCTCACAGTCTTTTTACAACCTAGTTTTTCTGCAACTGGAATGTTAACCAAAAATAGTATCCTTTACCTTTAAGGTGTTTACACTCTAAATGGGGAGAAAAAGGATTGCAAACTTAATTGTGTTTCATGTATTTACTAAGAAGGTATATCAGAATTGAGCTAATCTTGAAAAAGTAGATACAGTTATAGGAGTTGTAACAAATCCTAATCTTGGGAGGTGGCAGAGTATATTGCAAAGAGCAAGGAACTCTCTCCCAGGGGTACAGTGCTGCATCATTTTTTTCTTTATATTTTTCAAATCTTTTTAATTTTCTACAGTAAACATTTATTACTTTTATAATCAATAGGACATATATTTTTTAAGTCTAGATTTTGCAGTCATTCTGACCCAGATTTATATGCTGACTCTGCCATTTATTATTATTTTTTTTAAAGATTTACTTATTTCAGAGAGAGAGAGTACACAAGCAGAGTGAGGGGCAGAGGGAAAGAGAATCCTTCAACAAATTCCCCACTGAGCACAGAGCCTAATGTAGGCCTGGGGCCCGATGCGGGAGCCCAATGTGGGGCTCGTGGGGCTCGATCCCACGACCCTAAGATCATGACCTGAGCCAACATCAAGAGTCAGATGCTTAACCAACACTTAACTGACTGAGCCACCCAGGCGCCCCATATGTGCTGACTCTGCCATTTAAAGCTGTTTGTGATCTTAAGCAAGTTAAACTCCCTGAGACTTAATTTTTGAATTGATTAAATAAGAGACAATGAAACCCTCACAGGGTTGTGGTGAAGATCTTATGAAAAGCTCCCATCACAGTGACTGGCACACAGTTGTAATCAATAAATGTTAATTCTCACTTTCTCCCTATATGACACATGAATTTTTTCTAAAGAAAACTGATATAACATCCCCTTTACAATGATCCCCACTCAAAGTCAAATCCACAAGGCCCTTGCCTTTTTACCTTGACTGAGGCTGGTCCCTTCCAGTTCAAGTACTGCTCGAGTTCTGTGCCCTTGGCCCGGGCCCTGGAGGAGTCAAACACTTTCCTCTTGGAACCCTGCATCCTGCAGCAGACGTTGGAGTGTCTCTCCAGCCTGAGCAACAGAAACTTGCGTCCACAGTGGCTACATTCACCAAGTTCGGGCTCTTCGATGGAACAGCTGGAAACCGAGGAGTCTGGTACCCTAGACAAACTAGGATTGCTGGTGGCTCCCCATAAAGCATGGCCAGGCCCCTCTGAAGACTGAGGACACTCCTCTGATGGCTCTGAGACTAGGTCTGGGATTTTGTTATTGCTTGCCACCAGTCTTTCCCTTTTGAGCTTCTGTATTCCATAATCAGAGAGCTGAAATGGACTAGAATTTTCTCGAGACCATCCCCAAGTTTCATCCTCCCCCCTGTCTCTACTGAAGACCTCCTCAGACCCAAATTCTGGGGAGAAGGTAGGTTTGTATGTGGTGTTGCTATTACCTTTACCTCTCCTCCTGGGGAGTGTCATTCTCTGTAGCTCTCTTTTTTCATTTTCCTTAGCCTGTTCCTTTTCTTTCTGGATCCTTCTGAGTTCCTCCTCTGTCTTCTTCAGCTTTTCCCTTAGAAGGGTCTCTTTTCTTCGGATTTCCTCCTGTAAGCTCTCCCCTGCAGCTTCTAGTCTTTGGATCTGCACCCATTCAGTCCTGTTAGGGTTTGCCATGGCCCTCTCCTCCTGTGTGGCGACAACAGCACGAACCACAGATGAATTCACCCAGTTCCTTGAATCAAAACTGCTGTATGGAAACTCTCTTGGTTCAGGGGGTCTTGGAGAGACATTCTGGTCCCCATCAATGCCAGCCTCACCTGTACTATGAGATTTCCTATGGAACACAGGTTTCAGGGGGTATGCCCGGTCTACCCCAACTCGCTTCTTTGTGAAGGGGATGAATTCCTGATTATTTGCTTTGGAATACCGGGACTGAGGACTTGATGAGTGAAACAAACCCTTTGCTTGGCCCTGGGGATTGCTTCTTGAATCTTGCTGGCTGATTCCAACACAGTGGGGATAGGAGTAGTTCTGGGCTTTTGTGCAGGTGTTCCACTTGGAGTGAGTGTAGAGATTATCCAGTGTCAGCTCTTTGTTGCTCAAAAGCTTCTGCTGGAAATTGTTCCTCAGATGCCCCATGGAGGACCGCTGAGAAGAGTCACCTTTTTCACAGGGCTTTTGTTTAGCTGAGAGGAGCCCTGGAGCTTCTGTTTTATTATATGGAAGCATAACGCCCACAGGCAGAGGTGGTGCCAACTGGAGGCCAGCCATTCAGGGACTGGACTGAAGCCTAGAGGAGATTTAAACCAGACATATGTGAGGAGTTTGTCTGAGGTTCCCCCGCACTGCTAAAGTAAAACTGTTTCTACATTTGTCCTACCTACATATTCTCTTGAATTTTTTAGGGACAGTGGTGCTGGGTCTGCCAGAGCTTTCCTTCAATAAGCATTTGGTGAATGCTCATTATTTCCTGTGGGTGCTTATTAGGTCCTCAGGACAGAAAAACGAGTGTGACGCGGGTGTTCCTGCCACCTAGCTTTATTCCAGTACCAGTCTCTGCCAGACACGTAGACTCCCTAGTTGGGGGAAAGATTTACTGGAAAGAGCTACTGGATCGAAAGTCAGATTTTAGGCCTGTGACACCGGACAAGCAACTTTCCCTTCCTGGCTGGTTTCTTCACCCGTAAACTGAAGTTTCGCTCAGAGTTACATGACTGGCATTTAGGGACCTTAGGACTCTGAGTCCAGCCCTATCGGTTCACAGGTGAGCAAACTGCGGCCCACAGGTAAGTGACTGGCACCAAGAGCTCTCCAGCTTCCCTCCTGCTGGAACCGTGCTTGACTCCAAAGAACACAGAGGCCGCTCATGGCCTGCAGCAGGTGCCTGGCTGTCAAACCCTTACCCAAGAAGTCCCCGCGGCGCGGACAGCGAAAGGTCTGTAACCTGAGAGCTGGAGGCCACCTGACCTGGCCGCCGCAGCTTCTAGAATCGGAACGCTGAAGTCACGCACTGTCCCACAGGGTCAGCCGGGGCGCCCCCACTGGGGACTCCGCTTTGGGAACAAACCCTCGCTCTTCTGTCCATTGGGGCCCTTGGGAAGTCGAGGTGCTGACCCCATGTCTGCCCCCCCCCCCCCCCCCCGCGTACCTGAGGCTCTGGCGGACGGTTTCTGCTCAGGGAAAACCCCAGGACTTAGTTTTCCAGACCAGACCCCCCACCGCAACGATCGCCGCGCAGGCGCTCTCTGCGCGCCTCTGTTTTTCTCGTTGCCTGGAGACGGAGCGCGTGCGCGCCCAGTCCCTCCTTTAGCCCCCAACACCGCCCGGAGGTGCGCGCAGGCGCAGCCCGCACGCGGTCCGGAGACGCCCGCAGTTTGAGCGTCACTTGACCCGGTGTCCCGCCAACTCTGCGGCTTGGTCCCGCCCTGCCCTTGGGGAACGTAGGAGGGGTTGGGAGAGGCTTTATGGGGCTCCATCAAAGAGCTTGTATTTTTCTGAGAACGATGCTCCCAGACCTTGGGGTGTGCCCTTCTCTGGCAGAAGACGGCGCCCCTAGATGTGCCTTGGAGTCATCCTGCCGCAGGATTCCGGTGTCCGCCCACTTAGCAGGAGTGGGCCTGCTGATAGCCTTTCTTAGCACGCTCGACTGCTTTGTACGGGCCCCAGGTATGGCTGTCCTTCCGTGCTTTTCCTAGCCAATAGTTTGGAGCTTGCGGTCAAATTTTAGCAACTTGGCTAGGTTTTGCTACTCAGTATCTTTCCGAGGTAGTTTTTGTAGCCAATGTAATTATTTTGATACAATGTTTTACTCTCACGTGGTAACTCTGGCCGTCTCTTCGTGGGGCCCAAGAGTGACTCAGCCAAGTGTAATGATAATAAAGTTAACTACCAGATTGAAAATAATCAGTATAACCTGGTTTTCAACACTAAATAATATTCTATAACTTGTTAACATTAGAAGAGAGTTTGTCTTCGTGCTTTAGTTCGTTTGTGTAAGCTGTTTGGAACAGGCAGTTTACTTTTTTCCTGTAACTACTCAGAAGATTGATGTACATGGGAAATAAAGTGGACAGCAGTAGTCAGTGTTAATGCTTCAACATGTCATTATTACAGTTTTACATGTGACAGAGAAATTCCTTGGTGGGCCCTCCAGGGCAGTCCTTTTATTCTTTGCTTTCTTTCCTAGCTGACTCCATTGCCTTCTCTATATACGCAGTTTCAGACATTTCCCCCTACTCTCAAGGTCCTAATTATTTCAGCATCTGGCCTGCCTGCCATCAACTCCTGCAGCTCCTCTCCAGTCTGGCTGAATTTCCCAGAATGCCTCCCTCCATCTTGAATTCCTTCCTTCTTGTGTCTGAGGAAAAAGAATCTTCCTCTTTCCGTGAGTTCTGTTGAATTAGTCCCTTTCCTTACCCTCCAGGAATTGACCCCATCACTTTATCCCTCCATCTTGTTCACTTCAAGTTGTATCTATCCACACACCCCTTCTCTTTGGTTTTAAAATGTTTCTAACTTTCCCCTGCAAAACAAACATTTCCTGTGACCTGCTGCCTCTCATCTTAAGGTCCCATTTATTTCTCCTCTTCTCCACAAGCCTTCTTAATAGACAGCTGTGCATTTGGGGTCCCCATTCCCTCCTCGGCTCCTCAGTGTCCAGTCTCTGTGGTCTGGCTCCCACCTTTTCCATTTTATTTAACTGCCAGGCTGTTGATGACTTCCCAATGGCCAAAGACAAAAGCTGCTATTTCTTTAGCCTACTCATATGCCATCATTGATTTTTCACTCCCTCGGAACTCTCTTCTAACTTGCTCCTGTGCCTTCTTGGTTTCTTCTTTCACATTTTTGCTCCATCTTCTTCCAGGTCTCAGGCATTTATGTCTTTTCCTCACCTGCCCACCAAATTTAGGTGTTCTCCAAAGCCCTCTTATTTCTCATATACACACAGTCCCAGACATTCTCTTCCTTAATGATTTCAACCAAATGCTGAAATTTCAGGTCTCTCCTATGTTTAAATGATACTCAGAGCTCTCTCCTTAGTTACAGACTCAAATTTCTAGCTGCCCATTTAGCACCTCCACATGAATGTTCCTCAGGAACCTCAAACTCAATATGACAGAAAACAAACTCATGATCATCTCCCCATTTCCCCATCTACATGTCCAGTGTTCTCGTTTAAAAAAAAAAGATATTTATTTGTGTATTTGAGAGAGAGAGCACAAGTGGGTGGAGGGGCAAAGGCAGAGGGAGAAACAGACTCCCCGCTGAGCAGGGAGTCCGATGTGGGGCTCAGGGCTTTATCCCAGGACCCTGGAATCATGACCTGAGCCAAAGGCATATGCCCAACCAACTGAGCCACCCAGGTGCCCCTTGTCCGGTGTTCTCTTTTGTGCTGAAAGCATCAGTCATCTTGCACTACTCCCTCTCTTTGTCACCCCTTCTGTCCAATTAGTCAGCAGGCTCTGTTTAATGTACTTTGCAATGTCTCATATATAACTGTTCTTGTGCATTTCTACTGCCCTAGGTGAGTTCTTCCTCACTTTTCTTTTGGGACAGCATCACTCTCCTAACTGCTATTCTCGCCTTCAACATCTGCTCCCCAAGCTCATTTTTTACGCTGCTGCCAGAGTGATTATCTTAAATACCTCTGACCCCATCATTCTCCTACTCAGTGGCTTCTTCTTTGCCTATACCTTCTTTACTTGTACCTTCCAAGTTGAAACACATAATTTAACATGGTGTTTCAATCTGCCAGATTAGGTCCAGCCTACCTTTCCAGCCCCGCCTCCCCAGAGTCTAGTCCAGTGGATATCAACCCTAGCTGAGCTTTAGGACTCCCTGGAAAGCAACTTCTGGGGGTGAGACATGGGTATTGGTATTTTTAAAAGCTTCTAATGTGCAGCCGGGATTGAGAACCCCTGGTCTAGCCACATCTGATTACTTGCACTTCCTCTCCCTTTCTTTCTCTCTCTCTTTTTTCTTTTCTTTTCCTTCCTTCCTTCCTTCCTTCCTTCCTTCCTTCCTTCCTTCCTTCCTT